GAAAGGATCAAACCCCCGATGGGGAAACGGCGCCGGGGCTTCCAAACCCCGGCTGGAGAAARCCTTTTTTTCTTGGAATGTGCTGCTGGCACGGCCTGGGAATGACACAGCTGGGAGACATCCAAGGTTTTTTTTTGGAACAAAATTCCATTGGGCAAAGGGAAAAAATAAAAAAAAGGGATCCCAGGCCAAAGCTGGGATTTTATTGCACGAAGTCTCGCCGGTTTGAAAACAAAGCTCTGGCTTTGCTCTCGTGCCTTTGGCTTTGGGTGGACGGGGAAGATGTTCCAGAGGGGAAATCTGGGAAATGTCCCGCTCCAGGAGGAGCCAGGAAAGCCAAAAAAATAAAGGCCCTGCTGCTGTCTGGGTTTTTACTGCCAGTTTTCTTCTCTTAAATAAATTTAAATGTTGTTGAAGGTTGGGAAGGACCTCCGAGATCATCAAATCCAGCCCCGCCGTGGTTCCCAGCCCATGGCACTGATGCCACACCCAGTCTGTCCTTAAACACCTCCAGGGGGTTCATTTATTACTATCTATTTAATGTTTATTATATGGAATTAATATTTAATTAATTAGTAGTGCTTGTCCCCTGTCTACAGAAAAATTCACAGCAACACTAAAATCATCTAAATCATCTCTCCCTGGTTGCAATAAATGTGAATTTAGGCAACTGTTCATTGTATTCCCAACTCCTCCATCAGGCAAAGACTGGAGAAATCCGACTTTTCAGGCAATCAGATGTTTCCTACAGCTTATCCCGAATATTTTGGAGAAATATTTCGTTCAAACAACCCCCCTGATGCCTCTGTAATTATAATTTCCTCGTCTTCAGGAAAAAAAAAAAAAAAAAGACTTTTTATTCCTCTCTGCACCTGCAACCCCTTTTGGAGGATCCCTGGATAATTGGGATGATTCCAGTGCAATGATTCCCCTCATTTGGGATCAGCCAGTTCTCCCCCGGCCAGAGCAGCAGGATTTTGAGGATGAGGTGCTTTTCCCTGGAAAAGCAGCAAGGCCCATTCCATAAAGCTCCTTCAAGGAGCTGTGATTTTTCCCTCTTCTCCTTCCCCAGCAGATTCCAGGAGATCCAGGGATTGGAACAAACTCGCCCAAGGGATCTGGGAATGTGTTTAGTCCGCAGGGAGCGGCACAAAGAAACCTTTTGCAGGCTCTGGTTGGCAGGGAACACCTCTGAGCTCCATGATTGTACCTTCAAAGAATTTGGGCTTTTGGAAAGAAGATTTTATTAATCTAATCTGCCTCCTGGATCCCAGCAGAGCAACCCCAACCTCTGCTCCGAGTGCAGGGAAGTGAATCCCAGAATCAGCTGGGTTGGAAAAGCCCTGAGAGATCCTCCAGCCCAACCCTTGATCCAACCCCGCCGTGGTTCCCAGCCCATGGCACTGATCTAATTAGGAATTAGATCATTAGGAATTAGATCACTAGGAAAAAATACTGTGAAGGTAAAGCTTGCCCAGAGAAGCTGTGGCTGCTCCTGGATCCCTGGAAGTGTCCCAGGCCAGGCTGGAACAACCTGGGATAGTGGGAGGTGTTGGACATGGAACTGGATGGGCTTTGAGGTCCCTTCCCACCCCAACCATTCCAGGATTCCATGATTTTATGTCCCTAAATAAACTCTAACCACTTCCCACTGGCATCTGCTGCATTCTGTGCTGCTCCTGACTTTTCCTGCTCTTGATCCCCCCACAACCCCAATTCCAGGAGCACAGAGGAAGGAACCAACTTCCAATGTGGAGGAACGGGGCGACGAACCTCCCGAAGCAGCACAAAAACCCCCTTTGCCTTTGGGTTTAACTTTGATTTTTTGGAGTTATTCCAGCCAGTTTCAGGTGTAAATGAAAGAAACCTCTCTGAACTGCTGGATTAAGGATCAGAATCATGTCCCATTAAAGATCAGAATCGTGTCTCCCAACCCAACCCTGGTTTCTCTCTTGCAGAAGAGGAAGCGCCGCGAGAAGGACGATGACGTGGTGAGCCTGAACAGCCTGGACTTCAAGGTAACCCAGCTGCTGTCAAATGTTTAAAATGTCAACTCAACAGCTCTGCCAGCTCCTCTGCTGGGTGAGGAACATCCTCCTGCCCATGTTTGCTTTGCCCCAGCCCCCATTTTAGGGCCCTGCCCAGCTGTGTTTGCTCTGGGGAACCAGCTCAGGGTGGGCCCAGTCCTGCTGGGGCGTCTCCCCAGCGCTGCTTTAACCATTTAAACTGCTTTTTTTCCACCTTAAAACTCCTTAATTTACCATGAAATAAATGTTTGGGACCCCCTGCTCGGCAAGAACAGGGACTTCTTTGAGTGCCAGGGAGCAAAACCCTGCAAAGCCTCTGCAAATATCACTTTTGTTTGAAAACAAGCTGGACTGGCTGGGGGG